GGGACAGCTGGGGCTGGGCCAGTGGAAGCCATGTGGGTGGCAGGGGGCCAAGCACTTGGACCATCACCTACCACCTCCAGGGATGTACCTTAGCAGGGAGCTGAAATCAGCAGCAGAGCTGGGACTTGAACCAGGCACTCTGATGTGGGGTTTGGGTGTCTGAAACAGAGTTTTAACCAGTGTACCAAATGCCCACCTGTGCTGTTCTTATTTGTAGGTCAGTGGAGCAGACTTATATAAAGCTTTTGGAGCCTGCTCTGTTTTAGAAAGTGATTAAATAAACTCACACCTTGCTGTCTCACTGAAGAGATGGAAGTGAAGGAGCTGAGCCAGTAATTTTTTGAATGTGAAATTGTAGTCCTGTGTTGCTTCTAAACTGGTTACTGTTTGTTGTGTAAGCAAGAACAAATGTTTACTGACAATTTTTAAAATCATAAGAATTTATCCTTGTAGCTTATCTAGGATAAAAGGTTTATAAAACTTGCTGTTATTTACTAAAATATTCAGTGTGTAAACAGTTTTGCCAGAATAAACTGTAGGAGCAGATGCAATATGCGGAGCTTCAGAAATAGATTTGCCTTGCTTTGAGCTTCACAGGTTTCCACAATAACAGCTGTTGTCTTTGAAATCTGCCCTCTGCTCTTCAGTGAGAATGGAAAGTGCATCCTTGATTCTGCACCACGTGGGATGCTTGCTCTTTAACTTTTGAGAAGCTTCGAGGTGGAAATGCTTTACTTAGTAGTTCCACTTGATAATTACAGAGGTGTGATGTTCATCAGCTGTCAGTCACAGCTTCCTTTAATTCAGAAGTTTGAGCACTAAATTCTGAGAGGCTGGAATGACTGTAATTTCCTCTAGAAACACAAGTAGCAGAATGAAGTCAGCAGAAGACTTCTCAGGACTTTGTAATCAGTGTTTCTCCTTTGATAGTCTTTAACTTGGCAGTTGGTGGCCGCGCCGGCGGTGAGCGTCCAGGGCAGTGAGGCTCGCTGTGGTTCCCTTGCCTGCCTGTCGTGCTTCTCGACTCCTCCCTGTCTTCACTCGCAGTGTGGGCTTCCAGCAGAAAACCACGAAGGGCCCGAGAGGGGTGAACATGGGACACTGTGGGGCAGGTAAGCATTTGTGTTTGCATGCTTTTAGACATCCTGAACGTACAGCTTTTCCTAAAGAGTGCTTCCTGCAGCTACTGAGGAATGATGACAATAAAAGGCCGAATTGCAGTGTCTCCGTTAACAGTTGGCTCTCTGTGGGCACACGATGACAAAATCTCCCGAAGCGAACCACCGGTCTGACCTCAGTAATGTCAGGAGTAGAGCTTCATGCTTTTAGGAAAGCTTTCTAAGGGAAGTGGCCAACAAAGGCATTCCCGAAAAGCTAGGTTATTTTTTTAACCAGAGAGACAGAGTACACACTCCCACCCACAGCCTCCCTCTCCAGATTCCCACAACAGCCAACGCTGGGCTAGAAACAGGAGCCAGAAACAGCAGTTCAGGTCTCCCAGATGGTGGCAGGAACCAATTACTTGAGCCACCATCACTGCTTCCCAAAGTCCGTGCATTACAGGAAGCTGGAGTCAAGAGCCAGAGCTGGGAATCAAATCCAGGCACAGCCAAACACCTGCCATGGTAATATTAAAAAAAATAATAAAAAAATAATCATTGACCCTTGGAAAACACTGGGGCTTGAACAAGTAGTAAGCACCTCCCTGTGTTCTTTGAGGTTTGCTCACCTAAACAAAGGCTACTGGATTGGAAAAATAGACCTTCAAGAGTACCTGTGTGCCCATATGGATGGAACAGCCAGTGTGACCAATCCCTAGTAAGGGAACTAAATTTGGCAGCAGTCTCTCTTGACCACATTAAAATGCATTGCTCAGGCCAGCGCCGCGGCTCACTAGGCTAATCCTCCACCTTGCGGCGCTGGCACACCGGGTTCTAGTCCCGGTCGGGGCGCCGGATTCTGTCCCGGTTGCCCCTCTTCCAGGCCAGCTCTCTGCTATGGCCAGGGAGTGCAGTGGAGGATGGCCCAAGTGCTTGGGCCCTGCACCCCATGGGAGACCAGGATAAGTACCTGGCTCCTGCCATCGGATCAGTGCGGTGCGCCAGCCGCGGCGGCCATTGGAGGGTGAACCAAGGGCAAAGGAAGACCTTTCTCTCTGTCTCTCTCTGTCCACTCTGCCTGTCAAAAAAAAAAAAAAAAGAGGCATTGCTCAATAAAGGCTGAGATTAAGTCTAGCTCCTGGCTAGAACTTACATGTTAGTCAAATGTAGATTCCACCACCCAGCCTAAACCCTGCCTTGCAACTTACTACTAAAGCACAGGATGTTGGCTTGAAGCAAAACTAGTTTTGTGGTATAATATGTTGTTTCTGTGTTGCAACAGCTAATTAATCAGAAAAGCCACCTACGCCTTTCCCAGCTAATTTGGCTTTTTAAAAGTTCTAAAAAAGCACTTGTCAGCATTTAGTTTGCAAAAATACTAGTATTTAGATTACTCTTCTAAAAGTTGTTTCTGTAGTATCATGATGAGCCACACAGCCTTTCTATAGCCAAGTATAAAATAATGAACTGAAGAAAGTATTTGCCCTGCAAATAAATGTTTACAGTATGAGAAAAGTGAGCTGTGCTTCTGTTGTGGGCTAGTAAGAAACCTGGCCACACCAAGCTTCCTGTGGGCCAGCTGCACAGCTGTGAGGCCCAGGACTGTACCAGTGCTTTTGAGAAGCATGTGAGGGATTTCCTGCTAAGAACAGTAGTGACTGCATGAAAAGACATGGGTGCTCTTTGGCATAGTGGTAAAGATGGCACTTGGAACACCTGCATCCCTTATCACAGTGCCTTGGTTTGAGTCCGGATCCACTCTTGATTCCACCTTCCTGTTAATGGACAAACACCCTAGGAGGGTCAAGTACTTAGCTCCCTGTTATCCATGAGAGACCTGGATTGAATCCCAAGCTTTCGGCTTCAGAATGGCCCCGCCCTAGCTGTCCCAAGCAAGTATTCCGGGAGTGAACCAGAGGATCCGAGATCTCCCTGTACCACCTCCCCCCCCCCCCGCCCCCTTTCAAATCCAGGATATAAAATGAGCAAAACGCCTTACTAGGTGTATGAGACTGGAATTTTAATAAATAGTAAAATGTTCTTCCTATACAATAATTTTCCAGAATCTTTACAATGCTAAGAGGATATCAAAATAGACTTTAAAGTAGATACATACATGATCCATTTCTTAGGAATGCTAATCATTAAAAATGTACAGAACAGGGGCCAGTGCTGTAGCGTAGAAGGTAAAGCCACCAGTTGCAGTGCTGGCATCCCATACAGTGATGGTTCAGGTCCTGGCTGCTCCACTTCCGATCCAGCTCTCTGCTGTGGCCTGGGAAAGCAGTAGAGGATGGCCCAAGTCCTTGGGCCCCTGCCCCCACGTGGGAGTCCTGGAAGAAGCTCCTGGCTTCGGAGATGCTACCATCTGAGGAGTGAACCAGCAGATGGAAGGACCCCCGTGCCCCGCCTCTGCCTCTCTCTGTAACTCTGCCTATCGGATAAATAAAAATAAATCTTTTAAAAAAATGCACAAAACAGTAAGTTACTTAAAATTAGGTTTGAATGTGTGCTGTATGATAAAAATTGTACAATACTGTTTCTGTAAAGTTGCTTAAATGGATACTACACTTAAAGATATGAAATAGTTGAATTTTTTTTAAAGATTTATTTGAAAGGCAGAGTTACAGAGAGGCAGAGATCCTCCTTCCACTGGTTCACTCCCCAAATGGCTACAATGGCCATAACTGGACCAACCCAAAGCCAGGAGCCTCTTTCGGGTCTCCCCCGTGGGTGCTGGGACCCAAGCACTTGGGCCATCTTCCACTGCTTTCCCAGGCCATAGCAGAGAGCTGGATCAGAAGTGGAGCAGCCGGGCCCATATGGGGTGCTGGCGCTTCAGGCCAGGCCTTTAACCTGCTGCGTCACAGCACCAACCCTGAAGCCAGCTATATTTTAACAACACCAACACTAAGATGTAACTAACTTACTGCTGCCTTCTTTTTAACAGGTCATTTGAAGATGTTACAGCTAGAAGTTGGAACTAGAAAATCCTGAGAATTCAAGGTGCTAATGAACTAAATTGAACTCATTTAATTGTAATTAAAAATGGATTGCAGTTAGAGTCCCAGGATTACAGCTTGTTTTACTGTAGGGAGACAGTCTCCTAAACATGTTTAATCAAGAGCCTTTTGGTAGTGTAATAAACACTGTACAACTACTATTCTTCGTAGGATGTTTAATTTGAAGATCTTTTATTTTTCAACGAAACAGTCTGTGACCTTGACTCTGTTTGCAATCCATATATAAGACTGCGCCCACTCACCGAAGTGAGCTCATTCCTTGCAGGCACCAAGCAGTGAGGAATCGGAGTTCCCCAGTGCCCACGTTCCTGACGCTGCCCAAGGGGCTGCTCTGCCTTGTTTCAGCTCCCATGTTCCCAAGACATCCTTCTTTCTTGCCACACGTTCCACATTTTTGTATTTCGTTGGCAAATCCCTATTCAGAATGGCGCCTGTGTGAACAGGCTGTGACATGCTTGAGGACAGACACCGTGGCGGCTGAGTTCAATGTTCTGTAGCCCGATAATCGAGGGTCCTGGGACCTAAGGTAGGGTTGTGTCCAGTGGCAGTCACTGAAACTGCCATTCCTCTAGTCTTTTCCGAATGCTAATAGCAAAATAATGACACCTACTTTTAGGCATTAAGAGAAATCAGGGTTCTTAGTATCACTTTAGCTGGACTGAAGGTGTTCCTGTTAGGGTTTGGGTCATTGCTTCCTCCAAGCAAACATACCTACAAATCCCTACTTTCATAAGAATAACCAAGACACAATTTATTACAAACCTAGGCATACTGCTCTGTTTTCTAGTACTTTAAGGCTGGAATTTAAATATTAAACTACTAGGCTTGGCTTCCTTTTAACTTTTGTTAAGCATTGAACAACACATCAGATACACAGTTGATTTAAGAATTTTTAATGGAAGGCACTGTTGTCCAGAGTCATGAGGGGTGACAGCAAACACGATCCCCTCTGCTGCTCTCCTACTCTTCGAATACCTGTCCACCCCAGTTCATGCTGGGAACATGCAGCTCCCACGCACCAGGCAGTGTGCAGGTGGTTCTCAGTGGTGGTATTACCTCCTAAAACACTGACACATTTTCTCTTTAAACAAACAAACAGGCTATCTTACACAAGACAACACCTTGGGGGGGGGGGGGGGACCAGGAACCTGTACCAGCTATTTCTGCCTACAAAAAGATGTCTAAGAGTTCCCAGAAATGCACTTCTCCTGTCTGTCAGGTCCCCATGGCAAGAAGGATAAAGGTACAAGCATGTCCTTGGTTCAGACTGTGTTCAATGAGAGGCTGAAAGCTACAGGCCTAAGTAGCTATAACAGCCAAACTTCTCTTTGCTGTCTGAGGATCCAAAAACAGTTGCTTTCAACTCAAGGACAACATCACAAATTCTTAAGAATGTCCTTAAATACTTTTAATGTTGGAACCTTAGGAAAACCGGGTTCCTGATCAGAAGTCTATAGCTCGTCTTTTAAGCAAAAACAGGCACTTTGCTCTTCAGTGCAAAACAAAAATCATTTGTAGTCAGCTTTTGGGGGATAACTGTTCCTCCCATGGATAGTCAGCAAGATCCCTAAAAAGGCGATTTTCCAAGTTCTTACCAAAAACTCATCTATAGGAAAAGTCATCCAGGAAAACAAAACGTGGTTGAAGTATGTAAGATGTTGTCGGAGTGCACTAGGCCAACAGTTTTGAGCAGGAAATCACAATGAATGGAGTGGCTCTGCTGAGGTATCACTTGGACATTTTGGTCTCCGAAGGTACTTCTCCAGTATCCAGTGTTTTCAGCAACCGGAAAAGGCCAGCAGCTTCTCGTATCCTACTGAACTCAATACAGAATGCCTGCACTTCTATAAACAAGTCCTGCACGTTAATAATTTTGTTACGGATCAGGGACTGGAGAAAGACGCACACGAGACGCACCAGACGGTTCTGAAAGAGAGAGAAGTTTCAGTGTGCCCGTTTCCCTAGCAGACACTTAGGAAACTTGCAGAAGTTTGTTACTCACCTGCATATATTTATCCTTAATTTGTTCACAAGTAGAGATGCAATTTGATATATAAAGGTGAATAAATTCTGGAGGTAGATCAACAGCTGTGGTCAGTCTGTTTTGTGAAAGAAAATTTGGGTTAATTTTAATTGTTAACAACAAAAATTGTTAATCATAAAATGGAAATTTTCCTTTGGTCATTCAGTGAAACTGGTGGATTATCTAATTGCCTAGGTTTCCATAGGCTTAGGTGAACAGACCTAACAGCCACACCCAGTTAGTCACTGTGGGACTTGTGTTTTCTCAGTCTATATTTAGCATCACACAATGCAGTTACTCATTAAGCAACCATGTTTGAGCATTATGTCTGAGTATTCTAAGTTCCAACAGTCTCAGCAGTTATGTTCATTTAAGTAACAAGTGCTATCAGAGGCACTGTGAGAGAAGGTAAAAATTCAGTACGTCAACAGTGCATCATATAGCCAGAGGCCACAGTGAGGGATTTGTTGGACAGAAGTAATGTGACGAGAGTTGGGGAGTCTAAGGAGAGGGACAGTCCTGGCAACTGAGGAAGAATTGGCAGGCACAGTCAGGAATGCAGCAAAAACCTGGTTGGGATGTTACAAAAGAATTGAACTTTACAGTATTTTCCAAAGGATTACATGGAATGTTTTAAGCAAAGCGGGAAAAATGGGGCTGGAGTGAGATTTCCTTGCTCGGTTCAGTCTGGGAAATACTGGGTCACATTAAATTGGTTTGCTGACTGCAAGGCTTTCACCAGGCTAACCATGAAGAATGTGTTTCCCAAAGAAGAGTAGCATACAGTGCCTTCTCCAAACGTCTCTGGCCCCGAAACTTTTTTCCGTAAGGCACTGAGGATCTGAGGTACCAAGGAAACACTGCCGTGGGTCCCTGCAGTCTCTTGAGATTTGTGTCAGCAAGTCTTTTCACACTTAGGGATAAACACACTAAGGGGTAACAAAAAACAGGACCTTGTCTTTAGAGTCATACTAAGACAAGATACAGTTCTTGGGCTAAGGGCCAAATGGTAACACAGCTGCTCATACAGAAAGGAAAGAAGTGAGCACGGGGACCTGAATGGAACTGAGCCCCTGAGAGCAGCGAGTCTGGACTGGCGGGCAGAGGCGAGGCCTGAACGATGACAGGCAGACATGGAGCAGAGGCTTTGAACAAGAGGAAGTTGGGAGCCTCAGGTTTCCTACCCCCAAGAGCATGTTTGTTTTAAAATATTTGAAAGTCAGAGACAGATCTTCATCTGCTGGTTCATTCCCCAGATGGCTACAATGCCCAGTCTGAGCTAGGCCAAAGCCAGGAGCCAAGAGCTTCATCCAGGCCTCCCATGTGGGTGGCAAGGGCCCAAATACTTGGGCCATCTTCCACTGCTTTTCCCAGGCCCTTAGTGGGGAACTGGATAGGAGGTGGAGCAGCCAGGACACAAACCTGGTGCCTATATTGGATGCTGGCGCAGGCGGTGGCTTTCCCTGCCATGGCACAGTGCAGGCCCCAAGCACATTCTACACACAAACTTAAGCCCACTCAGCTGCCTGCTGTGCTTTTTGTCACTGGCTGATTTCAAGTCAATTTTTAAAAATCTCCAACTTTCAAACTATTTTTCCCTCCTGTGCACTTAGTCTGGATGTATATATCCCACACGCTGGATGAAACGTGGAAACTCACCGATTTACAACTTCCATCGAGTGTAAGGACATGTCCATGTTGACCAGGACGGAGAAGTACTCAGTGATCTGGCTGGACTGCATCAATTTCAGCAGCATTTCTATGGCAACTAAAGGGTTGTTTTCCACTAGATCAGGAAGTTTGGCTGGAGTGAGGCCAATGTGATAAACAAGTTTGGGGTCTTTCTCCAACTCTCCAAGGAGCTAAATAAAACCAAATTTTAAGAGAGGCTGAGTCAAATTGTATAATTTCCACATGCATACAAAAGCAAATATTTTACAGAAAAAGGTATAAAAGCATCTGCATTAAACAGCACAAATTTCTTCCCTCAAGTCCATGATCATCTTGTCTGGACATTTAATTTTATACTCGAATTGTGAAGATACCAGATTGAAAACACAAGACAACTTGTAACTTCACCAGTGACGTACAACCCCTACCCCAGGGGACCCGAAACCAGACTCAATGTTGTCTGCTTGTAACCATATTGTCCTGAAATCCTTTGTATATTTTTAGATTTTTGTCATCTATTGTGACTGAAAACGGATCTTAATTAACAGCTGGTTCTAGAAAGTGCACGAGCCAGAGAAAGCACATCAGCAAGAGGCAGGTGGCTGTGGCAGGCCTGGGCTGGCACTGCTGCAGGCCCAGGCACACCCACCCTCTCCTAGCAGGTTTCTGCCAAAGAAGAGCTTTTCCTTTAAGACTTCCTACGCTTCTGCACCCATCTACTTCCACACTGCACAGCGGACTGCTGCACCATGGCCCAACAGGCAGAGTGAACAGACAGGGACTCTGAAAGCAACACTCGATGGGGAGCCGGGTGGGAGACGCGAGGACCTCACGGAACCCTGGACCTGAAGTCAAAGGCACTCAGCTGCCACAGGCCACTCCCGCTCAGACAGCCCGGGCGGCTGTTGTCTCACAGCCACCACACACCATCTGTGGGATGGGGCTGGGCCACCTACCCTCGCTTCACTCTCAGCCTCTGAAGATGTGTGTGAAGGGCCTGGCTGGTGCCACAAAGTGAGACTCCTCTCCCAGAAATGAACTGATCGTAACTGACATTTTTAGTCATCAGACCAGGTGCCCTTTCCACCAGAGCAAAATTACCAAAAGGGGAACGGGCAGGCTCCACTGCTGGCTCGCTGACGCTACCAGTTGGCTGCGCACCTATTCCTTCCCGGAAACCAAAGGGAACGCGTGGTAGGCTAAAGGTGTCTGCTGTAACAGGTACCTGTGTCTGTTGGGGGGAAGACAAGGGACTTTTGAAGGCTTTGGCCATGATTCGCTTGATCTCCACACCGGTGCTGTTCTTCACACACATGGACTTATCCCACTGAACCGCGTGGTCCGGCTCCGTGGGGTTCAGCCAGGCCAGTTCATCCTCGCAGATGTGCAGTGGAGGCGGTGGGCGGATGAACTCCGGCCGGAAGTGGCCTGGAACGAGAGTGGCAGTCGGGCCCTTTGCTACCGAGCAGGCCGGGCTGGCGTTAAAACCGGCAGAACGCAGCCATGGTTTCCTCTTGTCTCCCCACAAAGGAAGAGCTTGGTCCCTGGCACTGTGCTGTTACCCTGTTTTTGTGTTCTCTATTTGAAGTCTGAATGAAACCCTGACGTCATGGCAAAGTCTTCTGATGGGAAAATGAACTACTGCTTGTCCACTTATCTGCACTTACCCTCCGCTTTTAAGGTACCACTGTTTTGTGCAGAGATGACTAGGAATTGTATTGGTTTCATCCACACATCTTGTAACTTTAAAGGGACAGATTATGGGGAGATTAAATGACATACAAAAGCGTGGTTGAGGGGCCAGTGCTGTGGTGTAGTAGGCGAAGCCTGCACCTGCAGTGCCAGCATCCCATATGGGCACTGGCTCGTGTCCTGGCTGCTCCACTTCTAATCCAGCTCTGCTTTATGGTCTGGGGAAGATGGCCCAGGGTTGGGCTCCTGCAGCCACTTGGAGGACCCAGAATAAGCTCCTGGCTTTTGCAGCCATCTGGGGAGTGAGCCAGCAGATGTCTCTCCCTCTCTGTAGCTCTACCTCTCCAATCAATCAATCAATAAAAATTTTTAAGAAAAAAGTATGGTTGACCTCTGAAATTTTCAAATGAAAATGGAGATTTGTGAAAATAAACAGGATATTTGTGAATTTAAGGGCTCATGAAAAACAGTAAAAGTACAGCAGGAAACCGAAATGACAGCCCTTAAACTGAACTGTTTTGTAAGACTGAACTCCAAGTTCTAAGTCCACTAAAGTCACCACCGGCCAGGACTCTGAATCAGCGTTATGCCCACTCTGGTTTCCAGCCAGGGCAGGAGGAGGCTGAGTCCTCCTGAGCCCCTGTCGAGTGTGAGATGGACTCCAGCTCCGTCTCCTTTGGGCTCACAGTTTTGAACACTCAATGGGAAGCAGTCCTCAGGAGGTGGGGTTGGCAGGTGCATGGCTAAACCATGCATCATCAGTGATGTGCTTCTCACATCTTTCTGGTGGCCCGTGCAATTCAAAGTTCAAGTCAAGTAGTAAATCGGGCGGGGAACGTCCAGCCCACAGTCCGTGCAAGGCCTGTGAAATCATTCGGTCCGGCCCTGCCATCGCAACTGCAGGCTTGTTTTGAAGGCGATAGTTTTGTATAGCCTACGAGTTATGTTAGAAATATCCAAGCGGCCCTGGGCAGGAAAAGCGCTCCCTGCCCTGTTAACAGAAACCATTCCTTTCAGGCACGGCGGCCCATTTCACAGTCCTGCTCTCTTGGAATTAAATTAAGAGGTGCAAGATCAGTACAGCTTTAAAGTGGAGATGGTAATAGTGGTAAGATTACTAAAGAGGTACAGAATAAACAATAAGGTACAAAAGCTGAGACTTGAGTAAAATCATAGAATTTAAATCTTCAAGTGCTCTCATGATGGCATACTATCTGGCGTGCAGTTTTGTTTTTTGTTTTTTTGTTTGTTTTTTTTTTTTTTTTTTTTTAAGAAAAAGCTAACTTGGAGCATTTCTACTACTGCTGTTACAGACAGCCTACTAGGAAGTTTCATAGTAAGTTGAAGTTTAAATAGCAATAAAGATATAAAGTGCCTCAAAAAACAAAGTCTTAGGGGCACTGGTAGCATAAAACCAAGAGCAGGAAATAACTTTATACATATACCTACTTTCAATAGGTGGCTTTGGTCCGCTGACTAAAGCTTCCGTGATCTGAGAAGCAACTGAGCTGTCGAATCCAGAATTGGAAGAATCCGGGTCTGGGTCACTGAGAATACTAGGGAAGCTGGCTTTGCTTTGGGTTGGCAATTCAGACTGGCGTTCTGGAAAAGGGTACAGGAGGAAACTTGTAAAACCGAGGGCACCAAGAGGCAATAGAAAAGACAGACTAACCGGAGGAAGCTGTCTGCAACACACCAAGATAAAAGGCCAAAGGGCCAGACTCTGTGTATGCATAATATATTCTTAAACTGCTACAAATCAACTTGGAAAAAAACAGGAAAAGTTAGACTAATGAACAGGCATTTTACAAGGAAGCTTAAGTGACTAATAAACAGTTGAAGCTATTTAATCCCATAGGAACCTAGGGGAATTCAGTTAAAGCACAGGATAACACACACTCACCAGGACTGACCAGTTAATGAGGGTGTTATTATCAAGTGCAGAGGACATAGGGTCACACACACTGCTCCTGGGGATGAAAAAAGGCATGGCGACTTTGGAGGACAGTGTGACATTACCTGCTGCTATGATGTGGATTTGGTTTATCCCCCAAGGGTCCCCAAAAGTTAGAAGGTGTTATCAGCTGGGTCCCCAGGGCCTAGCAGGAGATCCTTGGGTCACTGGAGATTTGCCTTCAGAGGGGATCTGGATCCCCGGGACCCTTGAGTTCTCAGGAGAGGGTTACTGTAAAAGGGGCAAGCCTGGCACACACGCCACACCTTCACCAGACCCTGTGCCACATAAGCTTTCAAAACCATGAGGTAAATACACTTCTCTTTCTAAGGAACAGGTGTGAGGTATTTTGTTAACGTAGCAAAAAGCTGAGTAACACACCTAGTGAAGTGTGACACGTGCCTATCTTTCCAAGAGGAAACACAGGAGTCTTGGCAATGCTCGCAGCTTAAACAACCGATATCCTACTGCACGAACATACCAACAGCAGTGACAGGCAGCCACGGCAGAGACTCGGCGCCACCCTGCACTCCGAGCTCAACACTCAACAGGAGGAGAGGCCCAGTGAGGAAACCTGTACCCAGTGCATGAAGTAGGCAGGGGCGGGGGGGAAGGCGGGAAGGCCGGCAAGCAAACGGAGACAGCGTATCATGGACGGACGTCAGGCTAGTGATGGGGGGTGAGGGGGCAGCAGGCAGCAGCCTCCATTCCCTAACCTGGGCTGGCCGCTGCTGTGGTTTACCGCGTGACAAGCCCTCCAAGCAGCTGTGGTCTGGATTGTGTCATTTTAAACAAAGAAGGCTCAATCCTCATTAAGGAGCTACAAAAGTCCATGAAAGACCATAAGGCAAATGGAGGAAAAAGCCCAGAGACATAGAAAGAACCCTCAGAACACACATCAGCTAAGAGGGGGAGCTGCCTAATGCTGCCTATCCCCTCGGCACCAGCCAGTTTTCATACTATCTCTGGTTAAGGAAACCACCATTTGCTTTCTAGTAGATCATATCTGGCACTAGAGGCTAACGAGTATTTTTGTGTTCCTTTGGCCTTCAAAGTCTTTAAGATTTTATTTATTTGACAGGTAGAGTTACAGACAGTGAGAGGGAGAGAGAGAGAAAGGTCTTCCTTCCATTGGTTCTCTCCCCAAATGGCCACCATAGCCGGCGCTGCACGGATCCGAACCCAGGAGCCAGGAGCTTCTTCCGCATCTCCTACAAGAATGCAGGGGCCCAAGCACTTGGGCCATCCTCCACTGCCTTCCCAGGCCACAGCAGAGAGCTGGACTAGAAGAGGAGCAACTGGGACTAGAACCCAGCACCCATATGGGATGCCAGCGCTGCAGGCAGAGGATTAACCAAGTGAGCCACGGCACTGGCCCCAGCCTTCAAAGTCTTAAGAAGATTTCTCTTGCTTTCAGAAAATAACCATTGGTATACTGATATACTCCAGTTAAAAAGTGCTGTTCAGACTGTTCCAAAGAGAAGTAAGTTACTACAACACGTGGCCTTGTATTAGAAGCCCAGTGTGTGCTATATGGGGTCTGAGGATAGGGCACTGTCAACATTACTCTGCAGCTCACTCACAATATCAAGGGTTTGCAAATCTAGTGACATGTTACAGTTGCCCAAGTGAGAAGCTGGTGCTGTGGCACAGCGGCCAAAGCTGCAACACCAACATCCCATATGGGCACCGGTTCTAGTCCCGGCTGCTCCTCCACTTCCGACCCAGCTCCCTGCTAATGGCCTGGGAAAGCAGTAGAAGATGGCCCAAGTCCTTGGGCTCCTGCACCCACCCAGCGGAAGCTCCTGGTTCCTGACTTCAGATCAGCTCAGCTCCAGCCATTGTGATCATGTGGAGAGTGAACTAGTGAACTAGTGGGTGGAAGACCTCTCTTTCTTTGCCTCTCTATAACTGCCTTTCAAATAAATAAATAAATCTTTAAAAGTAATAACTGCCCTAGTAAATCCCTCTTGCGTGACAAGAGCTGTGTTGTAGAGTAGGCAAGCAAAGATCCTCTGATTTCTCAGAACTCAGACAGCCTGACCCTGAACAGAAGCTACAGCAGGTCTTATTATTATTTTCTGTCATCACCCACTGTCTGCTTCAGAACCCTCATTCATTTGTTTATGTGTAGCACAGAATATTCCAAAACAACCCTGAAAAAGAAGAACAAAATTGGAAGTGTTAACACTTCCTGATTTCAAAAATTAGTACAAAGCTGCACTAATCAAAACAGTGTGGTACTGGCAAAAAAGACACACAAGTACAAACCAAGAGAACACACTAGAAAGCCCAGAAATAAACCCTGGCAAACAGGAGAGAAGGACTTTCGACAAGGATGCCAAGAAAACAGTTTTGGCTCCTTAGGGTCTCTTGAAATTCCTTTGGATTTTTGTTACTTCTGCATAAAATGTTGCTGGGATTTTGACTGGAATGGCCCTGAATCTGTAGATTGTTTTGGGTAGTACTGACACCTTAACAAGTGAGTCTTCAATCACAGGATTATTTTTAATAGAAACTAAACGTTAGCCAGCATTCCTCTACAACGGGAAAAGCAGTCATTTCAAGTGAAAACTCAAAATGTTCTCAGAGGCCCCATTAGCATCAAAACAGGACGTGCCCTCAGGAGCCTGTGCTGAAACGACATTTTTTATGGAAGTAGAGACGCAAAGCTAAGAGGACCAGCACTACCACCCCCGGAGGCCCACGGCTCACCCGCCAAGGCTAGCTGAAGTCCGCTGATGTCCACAGACTGGCCCATGTTTCCGACGTCCATCAGCGCGATCTGGCGAGGGGTCTTTTTGAAGAGTTCCCTGGGCGGTGCCAGCATCAGCTGGGAAAGAAAGAACTTTTCCGGTGGAGTTATAGGAGGTAAAAACCCTGGAAACAGAAACGCACAACAATTTCTCCAGTGGCTAATTTTAAACATTAACCTGAATCTGGTAAAACTAGCATTTGCTATGTGCTACCTCAACCCCCATATTTTTAAAGACTAAATTACAAGTAAGTTTCAATTAGCCAAATAAATACATTGATGACCGGTGTAACTAAATTTGGCATTTGAAAATTCTATGATCTGCGGCACCATCAGCCAAACTAAAGGTTTTAGTAACTATTAAGAACTTCACTTTGGGGCCAGCGTTGTGGCACAGTTGGTAAAGTCACCACCTGCAACACTGGTCTCTCATATGGACGCTGGTTCAAGTCCCATCTGCTCCACCTCCAAACCAGCTCTCTGCTACTGCACCTGGGAAAGCAGGGGAAGATGGCCCAAGTGTTTGGGAAGCTGTATCCACATCGAAGACCTAGAAGAATCTCCTGGCTTTGGCCTGGCCCAGTCATTGTGGCCAGTTGGGGAGTGAACCAATGGATTGAAGATCTCTCTCTCCGTCCCTAACTCTGCTTTTCAAATAAATAAAACAAACCTTTAACAACAGCAACAAAAACAACTTCATTTCCCAAGATGCCTCAAATCCTTTCATGATAAAGCTTACATGTATTCAAGCATACACAGGTAATAAAAACTCCAGGGGCTGACACTATGGCGCAGCGGGCTAACGCTCTGGTCTGAAGCGCCAGCATCCCATATGGGCGCCGGTTCCAGTCCCGGCTGCTCCTCTTCCAATCCAGCTCTCTGCTATGGCCTGGGATGACAGTAGAAGATGGCCCAAGTCCTTGGGCCCCTGCACCTGCGAGGGAGACCTGGAAGAATCTCCTGGCTTCAGATTGGCAGAACTCCAGCCGTTGCGGCCATCTGGGGGGTGAACTAGCAGATGGAAGACTTCTCTATGTCTACCTCTGTCTATAACTCTTTCAAATAAATAAAAATAAATCTTAAAAAAAAAAAAAAAAAAAAAAAAAAAACCTCCAGCCCTCAGAATGCATTTCCTTCTTTCCTGCTGCAACCACACAGAAGCTGAGAGCAGAAAGCAAGAGTAGGGACGCCCACACACACCCCATACCTGGCTCCAATGCACCGGGCCCCTCGAACACTCCCACTGGCTGTGTGAGCCTTCCCTACGTCCCATGTTCATCCGCTCACCAAACCTCAGCTGTCAGTCTGGCAGTGTGGCCGGACAGCAGCCAGCCACGCGTCAGCTTTCCCACTGCACCCCCTCAGCTCCTTCCCGAGCCCCCTCCTTTCCCGCTGGCTCCCAGGGCCACCCTTGTTTACCTGCCACCCATACAGGGCCCGTGTCTGCCTCCCCCCCACTGAGCTGCACTTGTAGAGGGTAAACCTGCTCCCGTTAGTTACCTTGCTCACCCGCACCTACAGCTCACCCTCAACGCCTCTCCCATTCATGCGGGTGCAGTCCAGCCGCGCAAACCACCCCCCCTCCTCTGAACACAGCGCTTCTCCAACAGCACCTCACAGGGCCCCACACTCCGCCCAGCCACCCCCATCCCTAATCTACATCCAGCAAGAACATCACCCCCGAGACCCTCTCCAGCTCCACAGTAGTCAGGGCTCCTCTGTGAGGGGCATTGTGCATCCATCGGTATAGCCCTGCGCAGTCTGCTGTGGCTGTCTCTCAACCAGACTGCCAGCTTCTTGAGTCCAGAGTCTCAGGTACCGTTGCAAGCCTCGCTGGGCTCACACTCATCTGAAAAGCTGTTCAAAAATCCACCTGCTTGGCCTGCAGCTGGCTGCAACACCCACCCCGCGTATCGGGGTTCCTGATTCCAGGCCTCCCTCTGGCTCCTGACTCCCGCTTCCTGCTCACGCGGGCTCCAGTAGCTGGTTCTTGCCTGCTGCCAACAGTGGCCTAAGCACCCGTACCTAAAAGCCATCTCGGCCCAACACAAAAGCAGGGG